TAATTACCCAGCCCAGTAAACTTCATTACATAAATATACTCTTATTTTTTGCGTAGATTAATAAGAATGCTATTTGGATAGTCGAAATAAACCTCACCTCCTTAAACCCGTGTTCCAATTAGGTTGGCAATGTTGGGATGTCGTCCAGCCTGTTTCAGCGTTCTTATCTCATTCGGCAACGCGGCTTTCGCAGGTGTGTATGCATTACCGAGCATAAAATAATAGACAAAGGTGATAGTTATTCATAAGTTGCTTACGTTGTGTTGTACCTCTAATGCAAAGAAAGCGAAGATAATACTCTGCCAGTCTAATCACCTTGCTACAGATATTAAGTTAAAGAATTCAGATTGCAATTGGGTAACATAAAATAGTCCCAAAAATACGCATAATTGCATTTTATTTGTTGATCCGCCCACGCTGCCGAGAAGACAATAACTGAGAAAAGATTTAAGCTAGTAGAATAAGGCCCCTATGGATACCTTTCAACTTCTTCACTGCAACATCAGTAATGCTACCGTTCCTTCCACCATAGCGACCTTTGTAAACGATTCAATATTCTCCTTCATATCTTTCAGTATCACCTCAGCCAAATCTTTGTTGTCTTTGCAGGTCACATAGATCTCTTCCGCACCTTCATTGCCCTGATATTGATACAGACAGAAGTGCAACATGTTCAATTGAGAGCAGTTTTAAGGTGTTAGACATCGTTACAAATGCCCTGGCGATCGAAATGCCCAATTGTTCAAAACAAAAAGGGTAGTTTATTCTCCACCTTGAGTATTTCTGCGAATTTTATTTAACAGCGATTATAGTTGGAAAAAAATAGTTTTGTGGGCGTTTGATCGAGTTAACTTTTTTTTGCTATGAAGTTCGATTACACTCAATAACTGCTACCCCATGATTTCTTCTTGCACGTCGATACAAAAACGCCACAATGCATCCGCTCATGAATGCAATTATTCCGCCACCACACACACCAAGCGCAGTTACCAGGGGAACAGAACGTCATTGTTCCTTTATTGGCGGAGCTGTAGTTGAAGAGGCTTGTTGAAATAAGAAGAACAATGAAAAACAGTGACATTGAACACTGCATGGACCTATCAAGCGCATTGGATGGTGCTGCTGGCCGTTTCGTCTCATAGCGATTATCTGCTTGCAAAGATGAAAGCGAGGAAATATTAAATTTCAACTTTCATCTAATTGCTCAGTCGGCAAAAATGATGTTTTTCTTTAATTTAGATAGAGTAAAATGAGTTCTGCTACATGATTGCCCTACAAGGAAAATAAATTCAATGCTTATTATCAACATGCAACCTCACCTAACTTTTAATGAACAGGAACGTGAGATTTGGAAGCTATTTCCCCAGAGCTGCTCTCTGTGATACATATGTCCAGTATTCAAGTGAAAGAATATCTTTCAAGTACTTTCATCGCTTTCCCAAAATTAAAGAAATGGTCGTTTTATAATTAAATTTAATGCCAAGGTAAGAAATATAGAGCATATATCTCACCTGGATCCTTTGTGGACAAGAATGCCGGCTTTGATGCTTTTTCTCCCGCACTGTTATTTACAAAGCAGTAATATTTTCCATTATCTTCCCTCTTTACACCCTTTATCACCAGCTGGCTATGAATTTGCTCGTCGTCGAGGAAAATCTCAGCTTCTCTAATCCAGTTGTTAGACTGTGCAGCAAGTGCGTCATCGTTCTTTATCCATGTGATATACGGCATGGAATTACCTGTGGCGGCGCATTCAAATGTTGCGTTGAAACCAGCGTTAACAGCTTGGTTCTTAGGATCCTACACAATCTCTGGTGCCAGGGAAGCAATTTCAGATGACGATTGATATTTTTTTGAAGAAAGAAAGCAAAATTTGAGAAGCCGTCAGTGAGTAAAGATCAAGTAAAGCGGGGAAGGTAAGTAATTAAGGAAACGCTAAAGGGATAAAGAGAGCTTCGTCACGGTAAAGATATCTTTAAATAGCAAGCCCACGCCTTGTGGAAGTTCTATCATGTCCAATCGGTTTTGCCCATGCTTCTGTCTTTTTTCTATCCATGTTACTTATCTACTAGAAAGTGCACACTTTAGTGTTTTCTATCTAAAAATTATTAGCACCAACCAGCAAAGCACCTTGACTTCTCTTAGATATAGTAGCTAGTCCATGGAAGATAAATATATGTTACTCACTAGATGGGTGGTCCGAGGTCTTGGAGGGCACAGTTTTTCCCAATACGGACCGACGTTAGCTGGTGAATAACATTTTTATGCTTCTTCTAAAACCTAACAAATGGTTGCGAAAAGAACCTTAATGATAAAGGGCTGAAATTACAGCAAGATTCTCCATAAACGGAACAACTTATGAGCGAGTAGATGGTAGAGAAAACAAGGGCAATGCAAATGAAAGAGAGAGGTTTCATCAAAACATATTTATCTGCATAATGATATTAAAAGGCGATTTAAAAGGCTTCCAGGAAAACTCCGAAACATTTTTTAAAAGTATCTGTCACGATCTGACGCCTGCCAATTTAAAAGCGCGTAGGGACAAATCATATGCGCATTTTTTTTTAACAACATTTAACACTTATAGAGCTCTTATCCGCATGCGTTCTAAGCGCTTTACATCCATTGTATTACAGTATGACTTAGAAATATAAAAACAAAAGATTAAGTTATCTAATTTAGATTAAAAGCGCATTTAAAAAGGTGTGTTTTCAGTTTAGATTTAAAAATATTCAAACTGGGCGAAGACTTGACTTCTAAAGGTAAGGAGTTCCATAAAAAGGGAGCAGCTACTGTAAAAGTTCTAAAACCATAAGACTTAAAGGAGAACTGAAGTCCAAATTAATGTAATTTTTTTCACCGTGTATCGTACATTTATGTATGATGGAACAAATTTCCGTCATTTTTTTTCCCTCGAACGACAGTTTTCATCCAGAAAACGAAGGGTTTTTAGTGATAATTGGCTCGACATTTGACTGTGGTACGTCGGCTCAGAACACGAATGTCAGCGGTTCTTTTTGTAGCGTGTGACGTAGGTTATGGGGATGAAGGTAAACACAGCAAGAAACAGGCAAGTTGAATTCAGGACTGCGGCTTGCTCGCGGGAAAGAATTTGTGGTTTTCCAGGAGTAAAGATTGTGCAAGGTGAAGCAAAAAATGATTCAAGCGCCTCTCATATGAGAAAATTGGTCTTCTATCCAGCGATTGTGCAAGAGAGAAATATTTTGGCTTTCGTAACCCTGTGTCTCTGAAACGTAGTTACGTGTCCAGATCATGTGCGGCGCATCTTTTATACTTGGATTGACCTCGATGTTTTCGGAATAGGGTCTCCACTTTAATTTTTCTTCCATACTGGTAATTTAAGATATTTCATCTTCCATTCTGTTTCCCATATTTTGTTATTTACCTTTTTTAACATTAGTTTGCAACGCGTTTGTAGTCTGGATTTTGCAATGGCATGTACGATAACGCACGCTGTTAACAATGTCGCAAGAAGTCCAAAAGGAAATAAAATTTTGAAATTCGTGTTGAACTTTGGTTTATAAGTTCTCTATAATGGGTTAAATTCTTGGCTTACGCAAGAAAGCATGTACAAATACGGAAGCCCGAGTTGTTTGAGTTTATTCTTCTATCTGTTCTTGGCGGTTGAGTAGCCCTCGTTGCTATATTTACTTCGATTACTTTCGAGCTAAAAAATGGTATACTGCGCGGCGTTCGATTGTAACAACGACTCGAGGTACACAACTGGTATATCCTACCATTGCTTTCCGAGGGATGAAGCTCTACGATCACAGTGGCTGGCAAAGATCTCACGAGCGGATCTGGTCGTTTCGAAAAACTCCAGGCTGTGCTCAGAACATTTTAAACCTGACTGCTACGAACGAGACTTGAAAGCAGAAATTCTTGGTTTGAAACCCAGATCTACGCTAAAACCAGGTGCAATACCTACGGTTTTTTCGCATCGGAGACCATAAAAAAGACCTCGACTTTCATCGGAGAAACGTTCAGAAGAGAAAGTCAGAAAAGAAGTAAGTGAATCGCGAATTACTCTCTTGTAACTGGGTTGGGTTGTTGCAAAGCTTGGGTTGTTGCAAACTTTTGAAGCTACTCATCATTTATGCATGATTGATAACACAAAAATTGAAAGGTGAATGCAGTTTGAGGGCAACAACAATTTATATCTTGAGGGATATCACCCGAATAGGTTCCATTGAGAAACATTAAATTTTCACAAAAAAGTATTTCTTCTCCTTAGGCAAAACAATATCCTGCCATGGAATTCCTTCCAGTTTCATGTTTTTTTTTTCTGAGTAATCTTTGTACTTCGTCTCTCCTGAAAATTTTTGACCAGTAGGTAAACAAAATTAAATTGTTTCAGAATAAAGTGATTATTCTTTAATTCTAGGAACATTATACCTGTCCCTTGTTAACTAGCAGGTGAACAAAATTAGTACAAATAGACTATATATAAGTTGTGGATATTATTCTTTAAATAATGAATTATTTTAACCTTCTTTACTTCTATGTGAATAAAAACTTAATACAACTGGAAATTCTAAGTTGAAACCAGTGCAGGCTTTCAACCAAAGGAGGGCAGGGTCAGGTGTTATTTTTTCCGAGAAAATCCCATTGAATCATTATGTAGCCATATAGTAGCATAGTTTAACCCCCATACCCACATTTTTCATTCTCTCAAAGGGTCACTAACCCATACCATAATAGAGTTAATATTTTTTCTGTTATAGTATATAGCCTCTACCACTGCACAACCTAATTGTGGAATCGAAGAACATGCAGCTTCAGCTTTAGAACAGCCTACACCTGTTGATGTAGTGAATTGTGGAGCAAGTACATCAACCTCAGACAGCCCATTATATCCATTCCCACATGATTTAGGGCCTAAAAGCACGTTGGTTGAGTCACAAGCAGTGCAGGTGAATTTGCCAAACAAGGGTGTGGATTTTGGGATCCAAGTCAATCTTCGTGGTCTCCATTTAATGATGAAATCTACTGACACCCAAGTCGAGGTTGATGTTTCAGAAAGCAGCACCCAGACTGAAGAGGTATTCCTTCCTGAAATTGAAGATAACAAGGAAGAAGCAACTGAAGCTGCTGCTTCCCCAGAAGTCTCTCCAAGAAAAGATGGCATCTACCTTCCCACAAAACAGGAAGATTCAGATGATTCGAACTTGTCAGGATCAGACAACGAACACCAAGGGGAAACAAAATGCGAAAAGCCACAGGATGATACCAAATACATTGTATTTAAACAAGAGCTATTTAAATTGTTTAAGTACTGTCCTGAGTGTGGTGCAGTTGTGATTAAGAGGAACCAATCCACACAAGGAAGCCAACTATTTGTCACCCTAGAATGTATGAATAATCATAAGTACTCCTGGCAAAGCCAGCCAGTGCTTGAGGGGATGGCAGCTGGAAATTTGTTGCTGTCATCATCTATTTTGCTCAGTGGCTCTACCTTTACAAAAGTAGCATCTTTGGCAGATATCTTAAATTTGAAAATTTTCAGTGAGAAAACATTTTATAATATTCAAAACAAGTACTTATTACCCGTAATCAATGAATTCTGGCTTAAAGAACAAAATTCCACTTTTTCTGAGCTAGGGGGGCGAGATCTGTGGCTTTCAGGGGATGGGCGTTGTGACAGTCCTGGCCATAATGCAAAATATGGGACATGATTGATATGATACCATGATTGATCAGAAAACTGATAAGATTGTTGACTTCAAGGTTGTTCAGGTCAGTGAAGTAAATAATAGCAATGCCATGGAAAGAGAGGGTTTTAAACGCTGTATGGAAAACATCTATGAAAAAGGGGGGAAAATTATGGTTGTTGCAACTGACCGTCATGTGGGCATTAGGGCTGACATGAAAAGAAATTTCCCTGAAGTTGATCATCAATTTGATGTGTGGCACCTTTCCAAGAGTATAACTAAAAAGTGAACTGAAAAAGCAAAGAAGAAAGAATGTGCTGATCTCTCTCTCTGGATCAGATCCATCTCAAACCACCTTTGGTGGTGTGCCAAAACATGTGGGGGAGACAAGGAGATGTTGAGAGAGAAGTGGATATCCATTGTCTATCACACTGCCAATATCTACTCCTGGGACTCAGCTGACCTGTATGAGGAATGTGCCCACCAACCAATCCCTCCAGCTATCGCAAGAACTAAAAGGTGGCTTGGGCCTGGCTCCTCTGCTCATAATGCATTGAAGGAGGTTGTATTCGATAAAACTCTGTTGAAGGACATTCAGCAACTAACACTAAGTTGTCATACTGGCAATTTAGAGGTGTACCATAGTGTGCAGACCAAATATGCACCCAAACGGCAGCACTTCTCTTATAATGGCATGGTTTCTCGAACTCAGTTGGCAGCCCTAGACCATAATGCCAACACTGGTAGACAACAAGCCACTGTATCCAGGGGTGCCAACCAAGGGGAGCTGCAATACAAGGTAGTGTTTCCGAAAAATACAAAAGAATGGGTGGCAAAGCCCATATTTGAGAAGACAACCAATTGTCATCTCAAGCCAATGCTTAATGCCATTGTAGAGAGAAAATGCTTAAAACCACAAGAGAGGAGTGCAACAGTCACAGCACCACACATTCCTGAAAACATTGCCAGCAAACCCCGGCCTCCTAAAGCAGATGTCATTGCTAATCATACTTCGAGATTTTCGAATAATTAAATACAACAACTTTGTCAATAACACAATCAAATGAAAATAAAAGCAATCATCGTAGCAAAAAGCAATCAAAGTTAGGTTTGAGGTTTATTTCATTCAGGCCACGCAGCTATCCCTGGCAATGTGGATAATTTAATAACTGCAGTAGGGATGACATTCGTTTGGCTCTGCATGGCTTTTGACTGAATCACTATGCAGAAATGTGTTAGTAATTCATATCCTCGATAAGTAATTGTATATTTCACGCAAACTTTAGAAAGAAACCGTAACATAAGGAAAGAAGAGCCTCTGATGTTATACACGCAAAGGATATGTTACTAATCATTATTAAAGGACATTAAGGATAAAGTTCAAAGTTCCAGATCTGCTTCTCGAAACCCCACGTAATTACCACTCTCTTCTGGAAATGTTTTACGTATGGCCGTGACGACGCATGTTGGCACGATTCTCCGCCGGTTTTTTCCTAATACCCCATGTGCCCACCAAGTAAATTGTCTGTAGGCTGCCAAACGCCAAGTTCTAGAGAACAAGAGGATATAAAGTCACAAAAGCGATTGACTTAATTACGCGTACAAAATAAGAAAGAAAAAGGCAGTTTACCTGTTGACGATAGGGTCGGGAATTGGATTGAGCCGCGCACTGTGGATTGCAACCAATGCCGTGCTCAAAACATCCGTGTCCAAGCACACAATACCAAATTTCGGATGTTCTGTTATACATCCAACACCTGTTAAGAAGAAAAAAGTCCTAACATTTTATTTCCCTCACTGTTTCAATAATTTTCATCCATCAGACCTTGTAATTGTAATTACAACTAAGATCGAGTTTGCAATTGTCCACCTTTTGTCACTCTTAGCAAAGAAGCGGTCGCTTCAAACAAAATACTCGTGAGAATAATCACATAATAAGTACAAACCTGAATTGTCGAACTTTTGATTAAGCTCCTCTAGTTCTTGGCAGCAGTAACATTCATTTGCCACCGGCATAAGCGCACAAGCGCCGCACAAACACCATTCGGTGTTTCCCATCCTCGAAGTATTGTCTTCTTCGTGGGCTTCTACCTCCTGTCCTACACTCTCTTCCTGAGGTGGTTCTTCTCCAGGCTGATATACTGGTTCGAACTGAAATGGTCCTATTCCGCTCATAACGAAGGGTCGACGAAGAAGCAATTTGTATTAAAACTTAGCTGAACGATAACACGTTCTAAAGTGATCCCCATAACATACGTCACAGGCTTATTTGGAAGACCGCTGATTTAAAATTGGTGCCCACGGTTTGAAAGCCGAAACAACGCCAAAATACAAACTTTAAAGAAATATTTCTCCAAGGTAAGACACATTTAGCACAAATAACGCCTGAAATCGAGAATTTCGTCACTTTGGCTATCGAAAGAAATTAACTCAATTTTTGGCTTCAGTTCTCCTTTAAGGTTCCATTTGTTTTGTTTTCAAAGAAATGCAGAAGACGAACGAAGCTTTCTATTTGGTACATAACGTTGGATCATTTCATCAATGTAGACAGGGGCAAGGCCGTTTAGAGATTTAAATGTCAAAAGAAGAATTTTGAATTGAATGCGTTGATTAACAGGGAGCCAGTGCAGATCCATCAGGATAGGGTTTATGTGGTCGTGTTTCCGTATACCAGTAATAAGGCGCGCGGCGGCGTTTTGAACATACTGAAGCTTTTGTAGGAGATATTTAGGCAAGCCATACGCTAGGGAGTTGCAGTAGTCCAGCTTTGAATTAACAAAAGCATGAACTAGAGTTTCAGTAGTCTTCAGAGAAATAAATTTCCTAATTCGTGCAATGTTCCTTAAATGATAAAAAGCACTCTTACAGCTAGAGTTGATGTGAGGCACCATAGTCATAGTATTGTCAAAAATGACGCCGACATTTCGTGCAGAATCTAATGGAAGAATCACTTCAGATCCTATTTTGAGGGATGCAAAAGCAGGTGGAGGACGATGTCGGGAGTGAAGAACCAGAAGTTCCGTTTTTTCTTTATTGAGCTTAAGTCTGTTTAAGGTCATCCAAGTATCAATGTCAGCTAAGCAGTCATGAAGTCGTGCCATTGTATTGTTGCACTCTAAATCATTGTTGTAAGTGAAGGTTGTATATAGTTGGGTGTCATCAGCATGAAAGTGAAATGACATGTTGTGACGTCGCAGTATATCGCCAAGAGGTGAGGTATATAAGAGATACAGAATGGGGCCGAGAACAGAGCCTTGAGGGACACCACACAAAAGAGAAAGTTTATCAGATTCAGATACATCTATTTGGACAAATTGAGAGCGGTCAACAAACAACAGTTCTGGTTGTCAGCTTGGCAAACCAATTCAAGCTAAATGGCTCTGCAATGATGAAATTTTAAATGAAAAAAGTCATAGGATCCGAAGGAAAGTATTTTCCTAAGACGGCGGATTAAGTTCAGTTAACTAATCAGAATCAGAATCATCGCTCATGATGATTCTTTATTTCTTGGGCTTCGCGAACTTTGGGCTTTCTTCTTTTTCACGGGCAATGTTGAACTTGAAGGTGCAGCCTTCAATTTTCCCGATGCAAGCGCCTGAGAAAACTCCTGATTTACTGACATCTTTGGGAAGATTCGCCGGCAAAGTGGTGTTCTCGTGGACGCTTACTGTCGATGTCTGAGTACTTTCTTGGCCGGAGCGGCTTAAACTGAAGGACATTTTCCGCTGATGGTCTGCGGACGCTGCTTGGTAAGAATCGAGGCTCTTTAAATTTCTGTGCCCGCTTAATTGAGCGACGTAATTTACGGGAACCTCCGCGTCTATCAGGCGAGATAAACAAGTCTTTCGAACAATGTGGTTGGTAAAATTTCCCAGCAGGCCTGCTGATTGCACAGCTGTTTTCATCAGCTTACCAATCTCGTTCTTGCAGAGTGGTGCTCTCATGTACCAGACGTTGCTGCCAGGTCGTCGCCGATAATTTATGGCCAAGTAAAACGGGCTGTCAGCGCTATTCATTTCTTCTGGACGGTGACTCTTGAATTCCTTGTAATAGAAAACTGGACAAAGTTCGTTGTTTGTTGCCTGCGTGGTTGGATTAAATGCCCGTTTATCACCATTGCCGCGGCGGGTCTTGGATCCTCTTTCTGATTTCCAAATCAGAAATTCCTTTCCCATTTCGTTGTCTGTTTGAAGAACAATGTCGCCCCATTTCAGTTTCCTGCTTTCGTCTCGGGCACGGAATCCTAAGTGCAGTGCCAATAACCACCAAACTGTGCGTCGGAGGGCTTCAGGGTTTTCAGCGCCGAATTCACCCGTGAGAAACAACAAATCTTCTTCGGTGTTGGATAGTTCTTTTGCAGCATGAGGGCGATTTCTTTTCGCTTCTTAAAAAACCAGCTGTTTCTTTTAGAAAAAAAGATCTTCCCCGGACTTAAGGAATTCTCGGTCTTTAAGAATGTTCAGTTTGGAGTTCTTGTCGTTTGGATATCGTTGCAGTCTTCTTTGAAATGATTATAGCGTTGCCGGCTCATACGATCCGCCATCTTTCTTCTTTATCTCCATCAAGAATTGACATATCAAGATGTTGAGCTCATCTGCCGGTATTTCTTCAAGTTTCCTGGCCTCGCCCAACTTAAGAAACAATCTTTTCCAAACGTGTAGGTCGTATTCTCTTTTTTTACCGTATTTTCTGGACGTTGTGTTAAAATGTACTTTTGCAAACTTGCCATCGTAAACTGACCCTTTTCTTGGTTTTCTTTCTGTTGCGAACCGATATTTTCTTTGTCACTGAATTTTTCTACCTCATCAGGGTAATAAAACTCTCTCTCGCTATGGTCTGAGTCCATGCCGAAAATTAATGTTTGCTTTAGTATTATTTTTAATATGAAATATTTTCAAGAAAGCTGATTTAGGTGGTGGGGTTGTGAGAAAGTGAAAAAAAAAATCCCAGGAAGGTGAGTACCATTTGGGAAAACGTTGCTTTATTTTCAGTTAAATTGCTATTGTAAAGACGATATGCGATTTCTTTCGTAAGGTGAGAGCAAATTAGAGTGATAAACAGATGAAAGCTTTTAGAGTAGGCAAAGAGATAACTCGTGGGTTCCGTAAGCAATAAATCATTCCGTGTTACTCATTAGGTTTAATGCTGTTTCGAAAATGAAATTTCTTCCTCTTCTAATTATTACTGATTTGCCAAACTTTGATTGTGCCCAGGAAGTATGATTAAAAATCGGCAAGTTAGAATGAGCTTTAAGCAGGCACCGCATTTGCCAGTTTACTTTATTATGAGATTTCTACGCAAATGTGTGCTCACAAACAACACCCTATTATACAATTTAACTCATGTCATCAATTACTTTATTGCTTCTCGAGGAGATTACTTTATATGTTTTGCCTACCTTGCAGCTCGATTTCGACAACTTTTTGCCTGCAATATCCCTCATAATGATTGTGAGCCTCACAAGTGTAGTTTCCAAACTGTTCCATAGTCAACCTCTTGAGCATTGATATGCAGCTTAGCTTTTTCGCTTTTGATATACCCTGCAGGCATTTGGCTCCAACTGGTTTACCCTGGGGATCAAACCACTGAATATACTTGGTCCATCTCCTAGGATGTAGCCGGTCGTCATACCTTGGCCGCGCTATGCAAGTCAAGTTAATATCTGCACCTACTATTAATGTGCGGTTTGGCGGACTTGAGAAGGTATTCATTTCATGTGTCACTTGACGGAAAAGTTAAAAAAAAATTAAATGCGTAGTCCTCGAGGTAACCTAAATCAATCATAACGATGATTCAACCAATAACTTCACTACAAAACTTGATTTGTGGATCAAGTATGTAACTTTAGATTTGGAAACGAAAAGTCAGTGCCTACCAACCAATTTTACTATTGCATTTGTTGATTATTTCCTCGGATGAAAGGCTGCTTATAGCACTAGTAACAAGAAACAGCATGAAGAAGTTGCCAGCGTTTCCAAGCCAACGTGTATTTAGCATTCTGGTCATTGGATGTTCGTCCACTTCCTCATGCAAAATTTACCTAAATGTAAAATCGTCTGTTTGCTATGGCATAAGGCAAAAAGTCTTTTTTTAAACCAAAGCAGCCAGCGGGTGATGGAAATTTTTCTCTTCATCAACAGATTAATTGTCAAGGTATTACCAAACTTCTATTGGGAATATGAGCCGAGGTGCAAAATGATAGGCGAGGGAGAGGGTTAAACCTGCTCTTGAGGATGTGGCTTTATCATTATTACTATTATCAGACTTGTTATCATTACTTTTATTATCACCACCATAATGATAGCTATTATCATCATTATTTTTATTAGTATTGTAATTATTATTAATAATAATAAAAAATTAATTAATTAATTTTAGCAAACGAGTCAACCGAGCGAAAATAATCCCATTATTTTCTCTGGCTGGTCCAAAAAGCTTAAAAGAATAGAAGCATGAGACCTCATTTCAGAACGTCGATATTTTGTGACCAAGAAAATGCAATAAACAAAAATGACAACCAGATTGCTTAGAAATTGTCTCGTGCAAAATGTCATATCTTGTTACCTACGCAACCGATGCCTACGGAACCTGACCAGAATGTAAATTGAAGGTCTAAATAAAGCCTAATGAAAACAGCAGGTGAGAGTTTGTCATGAAAGACTGGAGGGAAAAACGTCAAAGAAATGAGAAAACCTCACTCACTTACCTTGTTATATTCTTATGATTGTTGTTGATTGTTTTAATTTTACATTTTTGACAAAAGTCATTCCTACGGAATAATTTAAGTAAGTCTTGCAAAAGCTCAAGATGTTCTTCATTTAATGAAATGTGATGTTTGTCACTGATCACTCAAATTGCTGAATCTCCATGAGTTTTGGCACTTAGAGACAGCTTTGGTGAGTTTTCACGAGAACATAGTATTTTAAAATAAAAAATTAATAAATAGTAAAAGTAGTGATGAGAAAAAGGTCATTCAACCCACCTCAAGTCTTTTGCTTGCCACAGCAGACAAGACGAAATGTGAATATACTCAACTTTCTTACGTTTAAATAAACATAAAGGAAACAGGTGTTTTTGCCTACGTATGTCACAGTGTGGGTCTTTTCCGATCTAATAGTATACCTAGCAGCTATATTTCAACCTATTTGACACTGCAGAAGGCCATGCTTATAGACCATTTAGGCCTCCATTGATGTCCATTAAACATGTAAGAGTATGTTAAAATGGTTCTCAAGGTTTAGCAGCAACTGCAATAGACACATGTCCATAATTGCCACCCAAGTTTAAAATTTATGACCGCAAAAAAAAAAAAAAAACATATAAATAATATAGCTTATCTGCGTCATGAGGCATATAAACTAGCCAGACTTATGAATAAATTTTGTGACACCGAATGCGAATTTTTTTTCCATAAGTTCAAGACTTTTTAAATAAAAATAATCATGATCAAATAAAAATATAGAATGGTGCTTTTTGCAGATTTTACAGAGGAGCCAAGCTGTTTCAGCGCGAACTTTGCACATCGATCATTATCGCCCAGCAGTTAGTTTTTAACATTCGGGGTTTCCACTTGGCTGACATGCACTTAAAGTAGATAAAATGATAGAGGTTATGAAGGCTTTTTTCCTAAACAAGTTTTTCTTTCCGTCGGTTTTATTGCCTTACAAAGAAAAATTTCGAATGATTCAGTTTTTTGAGGAGTTGACGAGAACCAACACGAATTTCAAAATGGCGGCTTTTTAACATCTGCCTCATATTTAATCAAGGAATCGATCACAATAAGCATAGAGTTCAAAGAAACTTTCCATAAAAGTGGTGACAAATTTTTTCTTGATAAAGAAGAAAATTAAAGATAGACTTCTGGGATTGGCGGATTCAATGCTAAAAACGCTATAAATCGCCTTCGGCGTGAAGATTATAATTCACTGTAATGTTGACATCGTGAATATAAAAGCGATCTTTGCACTAACGAACACTACTTAAGCAGTAATGAAAATAAGGCCTAAAAAACTGTACTGGATTTGAACCCATGACCTCTGCGTTACTGATGCAATGCTCTACCAACTGAGCTAACAAACAAACTGGGAGTTTGTCGTTATTTCGGTTCCGAACAAACCCATGAAGTGATGACTAAATGACTGTTATTGGCTAGCTAAGAGGTCCGTATTGGACCCGAGGTCTTGACTTGTGGTACTCAAGACAGAGGGCAGGTATTTTCGCAATACGGACTGACCTAGGCTGGTGAATAGCATGCGGACTGTTAATGGTGATCTCTGAGTCAACCTTTAATCACATCTCTTAAGAATTAAGCTTTCTCAAACTTATTAATTATTCATAACTGAGGTGAACATCCAAGAAAGTCACGCCAATCTCGTCACGTGCATGCGGTTTAAAAGCCCCGGTGAAACACCGGAATGACGCGCTATCTCTGAGTTTCATATAATATCAAACCCTTGAGTTAGATAAAGCATCAAACACTGGTGAACTGATTTCTTAATTTGAATATTACTACAACAAACTTGCCGACAACGTGTGAAAAATTCGTAAATATTTCCATTTTCTTTCTTTTCCTGAGGCGCGATCGAGAAGCTATTTCAAAAACTCGTGCATAGGGTTTCATCAGGGTTTCCAAACACTCAAAAACAATAAAAGCACTCGGTCTGCGGCCTCGTGCTTTCATCAGTGTTCTCGTAACGGCAGAGGGGTTCTATACTTTTTTGGTGCCTCTCGTCTATTGTGGTTAGTTCAGCTTTGCTCCCCAAAGGCTCACCAGAATTTAATCAAAGACCTAGACAAAACGGGGAGACAAATCCAGCGCTCCTATAATCAGTACTGCATGCATTATGAATAGCTAGCTGACTATGAAGTGATATTCAATAAAGTCAATAAACTCAATGTTTTTTTTGGACAGGTTTTGACGGCCTTGTCTGTTTGTAATTAGCTTCGATGCCGGAAAAGAAATCTCCTTTTTACTTAAGAGAAAGGTCTCAATCGGCTATAAATATACTGCTTACGCCATTTCGAAGAATTTGGCATACCTCCATTCTCATTGATTCCATGTTAAGTCTCACGCCAAAGACTAAGAAACAAAATACGAACCAGACATTTAACTGACGAGTCACTAATGCGAAAAGAAAAACAACTTAGAGCAGGTGTAGAGGTAATATTTTTGTCAGCTCTGTAAAGTTGGATTCATGGTTAGTGTGGAGAGGGTTGAAATTTATAATAAATTGTAGCGTGTGAGCCAGGCCCTTACCTTGACTGTCCTTCGAATTCCGGGAAAGCACTATTGAAACAGCTTTGGAATATTGGTTTTATAATCCAACAAGCATATCATTGAATTTTCGAAACGTTAGAGTGGAACTTTCCAGAACATTTTTGTAATTTTATCATGTATTCCCATTATGAAATAAGGACTTTATCAGCACTTACTACGCAGATTGTAACTTAGTGCTCCTGTCGTCTTTATTGATTACAAATCGTAGGTTTTCTTCAACTCATCTGCATGTGAGATATTCTATGATTTCTATCTATTTTTGGTGAGAAATGACCAAGGAGGAAGGATGTTAGACTGGTCACATACTTTTCTCTCATTTGATTATCGTCATTACGTTGGTGTTGGGAAATCTTGAATTTCTCTGTAGTTAAATATTGACGCACAACGTTTTACAACGTTTTGGTCATTCCTGCTTTTAAAGATTCTCCATTATAAAGATTCCCGCTTTTAAAAGATTCCCATTTTAAAGATTCGCGCTTCTAGGATTCCCCGCTTTTAAAGATTCCCCATTTTAAAGATTCCTCTTTGCCCACTGCCCATTGCCAATTTCCTATTGCTCATTCCCCCGTTCCTTGTTTTAAAGATAGCCGGGCTCCCTACTGACGAGAATATAGTTTAGTGCTGATCTAAATCAGGACGACTTCTACTACTTAATCACGTCGGGGCCGTGAGAAAATATGTGACGGTTCACTTCTTTGGAAAAGGACAGCTTATGACAGACTCGTCCATATGATCGAAAGGCATGCCCAAGACTATTTGTCTGATCACATTTAAGTGGCGCCTCATCTTATTTATTGATAGAAATCGAATGGTTTTTTTGTTAACCCTAAAGAAGGCGCTGGGTTCAACCGAAAAGTTAGGTGTCAAAATAATCAACCAAACATAACTAATATTATTGTGCTTTAAGATACTTTACGCTCTATACTATAAAGACATGAAAATATCGACATTATGTGGATCTCTAACATGGCACAGTACAGATTAAGGACCCCGATTTTTTATGAGAAATTTTCAAATCTGAGGGAACTCATTCATCAAGTCACATATCGTTTAAAACATTTGTTTTGAAAGAGGCTTCCAAGAGACGGAAGTCTCTCGGTTGAGGGCCGTCCGCATTAAGCTTGCTTTCAGTCGAGGGTCGACGATTCCGCTTCAAACACATAGCTCGAAATTATCAGAAAACAACTTTCCTGTAATCAATTCTAGGTCCTTTTTTTCTCTAGTCTCCGGTGCCTGTTTTCGGTGCATACTCGTCATATTTTTGTTTATGACCGTGGCCTGTGTCTGCAGCTCTCCGGGTATTCCCACGGACTCTCGTCAATTCTTAGCGTAAGATTTAGCATATTACATTTAGGAAGACTCTTTAAAGTATTATTTAAGACTTAAAGAGGTGTATAGACTCCATTAATCACGTTTTTAATACCTCCGAACAATAGTTTTAGTTCTGTTAACGACGGCTGACAGTCATCGAAACTCAACCGTAGGAAAGATACCAGAGCCCAGTTCAAATGGTCATGATAGTTGATGACAGTTTCAACAATCACTCGCGTATGATTACAAACTATCAAGCACTATCATTGGCTATCATCAACTATCACGAATGGCCAGCGGTGATTACGGCGGTCAGACGTGTTTCGAGCTTCTCCGTAATTTTATTAAGTTTTCCGCTGTTAGCTTTGTTCTCTGTCAACTTATACTCTCTCAAGCTCTCGAAGAATGCTCAAGTGCATTACGGGGATAATTTTTTCAAGTATTTCAACTCATACCCGGTCGATTTCAATCTAATTTCGCCAAGGCATAGGTCACGGATCGGCGGCCAATTTGTCGACTCACCTCAGAAGAAGTTTCAGAAGTCAAGAGTGGCGTACTATTCGAACTGTACGGCTTCCTTCAACCCGGTTGCTCTTTCTGTGGTTAGAAGTGGAGACATTCATCCTCATCCAGCACCTCACAGACAATGTAACTCGACTTGTAAATCAGCCGTCCGCCAAGACAGTTCTCGTAAAAAATGCAAGGAGTGTGATCGGACGATTGCTATAAATCACCGTGCAACCATATGCGACTGCTGCTCGTTGTGGTTTCACATTAAATGCAGCGGTGTGACCCCTAAGCAATATCTAATTTTGCAGTCGTCTGGCAGTACATCACACACTTGCGAGTCATGTATGGAGGCTCTTCGCCAATTACCTTTTGCGGACTCGAGTTTGAACTCCAGCACAAGTACCAACAGTTCTACTGAATCATGTTCCGACGATGAAACGTGGAGTGAATATGATGCCTTGATTAAGAATCATTGGACCAACATTAAAATCGGACATGTTAATGTGGACCATATTGCAGGTTTTAAACTCTTTGAGGTCAAGTATTGGCTATTAGAAGGAAAGTTTGATATTTTAGTACTTTCTGAAACGAAGCTGGATTCCAGTTTTCCAGATAGTCAATTTATGGTCACCGGATATCGAATGTGTAGGGCTGACAGAAACATACATGGCGGTGGTTTATTGGTCTATATCCGCGCAGACCTCTGCTTTAAAGTCATTAAAGACCTTCCCAATCTTCGATTATGTGAGCGTGAACGGTACAAGACTGAATCGATTGTGCTGAAGGTGAGGATAGCTAAGAAGTGGAAAACCATCGTCGGTATCTATAGACCTCTAACATCTGCGTCTGTCCCACAATCGCCATGGAAATTTGAACTATCCTCCATACTTGAGGCGATCACAATACTTCCTGGTAACTGCTTTTTCGTAGGCGACTTTAATTCGGATATGTTACTACCAGACAAGCCGCCAAGGGATAGTAGAGTTATGGTAAACCTACTTGATATTTACGACTTGAAGAATTTAACACATGAAGCCACCCGTATTACCAAGACATCAGAAACCCTACTGGACCTTTTTCTCACTAACAACTTGAGAAAAATACAGTCATCGGGCGTAGTCCATGTTAATATAAGTGATCACTCTCTTGTGTTTGCCATACTCAGGGCATCGGAACCGAGAATACGATCTCGGAAAATACAATTAAGAAGCCTCAAAAATTTTGATAAACAGCATTTTCTACATGATTTGCATAATGTTCCTTTCCAAGTAGCTGAAATATTTGACGACGTTGACGATAGCTCTACGTGTTTGATTGTCTATACGAGGACATTCTTGGTGAGCATGCACCTTTGAAACAGGTCCGCATAAGGGGAAATCAAGTTCCCTTTATGAAGGAACAATGGCGCAAAGCTATTCGCCAGAAAAACCGTTTGTGGAAACGATTCATCCGCGAAAGAACTGATACTAATTATGAATTGTACAAGAGACATAGGAACATTTGCACTTCTCTAAGACGTAAAGCTATTAAAACTTTCTTCGACAAGAAAAGTGAGTCGGAAAACTCAAGGGAGTTTTGGAACACATACCGCCCATTTTTGCATTCAAGGAAAAGCACGCAAGCAAATGACATAATATTAAAAGAACACGATGTCGTAATAACAGACAAAAAACAAATGGCGGAGCTTTTTAATAGTTATTTTGTCAACATCGCGAACGGCGTGCCAGAGATTACTGAACAGAGTTATGGAAACGAGTTGGATGCGCATCCTAGCATTCAGGCGATTTTCAACAACAATGAACAGCTCGCTGTGAGAAATAAATTTGCTTTTCAATATACTAATAAAACCCAAGTGGAAGCTTTGTTACTCAAAATCATCTCCCGCAAATCCTGTGGTCATGACGGAATACCACCGCGACTGGTAAAAGAGTCTGCCAACGCGATTGCTGGTCCTATTGCTGCAATAATGAATCCCTCGATCAGGACAGGACAGTATCCGTCGCGCTGGAAATTAGGTCAGGTTACTCCTTTATTAAAAAGGACGATGAACTGAACAAAAGCAATTATCGACCAGTGACCGTTTTACTTGCGTTCAATAATGTTTTCGAGAGACTGCTTTCAGCTCAAATGGGCGACTTTTACCAAAACATATTGTCCGAATACGTATCTGCCTACAGAAGGCACCATAGCTGTGAGACATCTTTGCTTAGGCTGACTGAGGACTGGAGGCGTAGTCTAGATAAAAAAGAGATCGTGGCGGTTATATCAATGGATTTGTCAAAAGCTTTCGACACCGTACCTCGTGCTTTGTTACTAGCGAAACTGAAAGCGTATGGTTTGCATGAATCCAGCTGTGCCCTTATCGGTGACTACTTGACGGATAGAATGCAGCGAGTGAAAATTGGTGATACTTATTCGGATTGGATGAGCGTGAAGCGTGGCGTACCTCAAGGCAGCGTCCTGGGACCCATGTTTTTCAACATTTTCCTCAATGACCTCATCTTTCACATTAAGCCTGTAAAACTAAACACTTATGCTGATGACTGCCAACTGCACACATCTGAGGTAGACCCAGTAGCCTTGGAACAGCGGATCAATCATGATGTACAAATAGCAAACAAATGGTTCGAAGACAATGGGATGAAAGCCAACCCCGCTAAACACCGAGGGATGGTTCTTGGCAAAACCGATTACCCTTTCTCCTTCTCAACCACAAGATGCCTGGAACTTTTTGGAATAATTCTTCATAATGAACTTAATTTCAAGGAACACATATCCTCTGTATGTAAAAAAATAAATAATCAGTTCAGTGTCTTCAAAAGATTTGGCAAACTTATTTCTACCGAAATTATGCTTCGCCTTTATAAAACGTTTATGTTACCCCATTTTCACTACTGTTCAATGATATGGCACTTTTGTAATTCAGAGGACTCTGTTAAACTGGACACCTTAAATAGATGTATTTTAAGATTTGTTTTAAAGGACTGGGACTCGAACTATGATGATCTTTTAGACAAGGCAGGTGTATGTGGTTTAGCCAACAGGAGGATACAAAATATGATGATTTGTATATTCAACTGACTCCACTTGGTAAATATCCGTGCTATTTGAAACAACTGATCAAGCAAAGATCTACTGCTTACTCCCTAAGGGGCACCAATATTTTATCACTTCCTAAGCCGTTTACAACCACATATGGTCTAAATTCTTTTAGCTATTCATCTGTTAAGTACTGGAACTCCCTCCCTGACCACTTTAGAAAGACTCTAGATAATAGTGAATTTAAGCGCAAACTGTTAGTACACGGTTTCTGTTAATATTACATTAATATTAAATTATATTATTATATTAATGATTATTATATTATATTACGAATTATTTTTTTCTCTTTTAAGCCTTGTTCTTGCTGTAAATTTTAAAATTAGTAATTAGGATGGAGATACTAGCTTGTAAGCTACACTGAAATCCGAGGATAAATAAAGCTTATTTATGTATGTATGTATGTATGTATGTATGTATGTATGTATGTATGTATGTATGTATGTATGTATGTATGTATCGAAAACGGGAATCGGTGATATTTTCAATAACAATCATAGCTTAGTGTTTGGGTGCCGGTTTCTCATTCGCATGAAAAAACAAAGAAACGCCAAGGCCCATGGCAAATATTTGAAATAAAAATAGTCAGTAGAAAACCGCTTAAAATAATTTGTATGATCCAGTGAAAACTTCATTAATCAATTGCAGTTACTAATACATCAACCTCCCACCCCTCCTTGCGTACTTATAGTTCGTCCTCCATCCCTCCCTTGGTAACAACAGTTTGCCTACCACCCCTTTCTAAGTACTGATAGAATGCATTCCACCCCTTCCTAATAAGTAATGGTCTGAGAAATAGTCCAAAAAAAAAAAGGTCCAAAATATGGTCCAAAAAATGGTCCATAAAATAGTCCAAAAAATAGTCCGAGAGTCCAGGGGTCCAATGATCCAGTCAACATTTTACCCTATGCCCATAGGTAATGATATTTGCATTAAAACGGTTTATGATAGTCAATGATAGTTGACAAAATCACTTTATGAGATTGCGTTATTGTACACAAATATGGCGCGCTATGAGGTTAGAAAAAAGTTATGGCTCACTAACATCCGCTCGTTCAAACGGCTGAAACTATCATCATCTATCTCGCCTTTTTTAACGGGGCTTAAGAGACTTTTTATAGCGGCCGTTTACATCAACTCAGTTAATAAAACCAAATTAGTTCGTCATACACGCAGCACCACGGGTTGTTTAGAACTTTACCCCATTTATTCAACTAAACTCAAGCAAACCTGCGAGCCAGCAAATTTAATTGAACCTTGAATCAACTTAAGTTACATTAGCTTAGGTTTTATCATTTTAAAATAGCTTTGACATCCTTTTAACCACCTCAGTCTGAATTTCAGACTTGAAAAAATTCATGAACTTCGCGAAACAATAGATAGAAACAGTCTGATTAGAAGTAAATAATTTTTTCTTAAGTCAGACATCCGAGAACATCATAGAAAGATTCAAATCTCATGTAGGACCAACAGACAAGGCATTCTCAAGCCAATTGAATGATATATCTCCCATCGATTCATATCCCTTATTATCGTCGGTGAAAATATTCTCGGAGCCTACATAACTTTGTGAAGTTAGTTGGTCAGGTACCAGATTGAGCCCCCATGTTACGTTTCCTTTTTAGAGTGTTACGGCCCTTTATCACCTCAAATAATATTCTAAAACAAGTGTTACATACTAATGAAGGTATTTATTTATCCACGACAAATTACAGTCTAGCTGATGTGGTTGTGTCTTAGTCAAGTCTAAGAAGTAAAAAGTAATAGGAAATTACATTCGTGATTAAAACTACAAATACATGATTAAAACTACAAATACATGATTAAAACTACAAATACATGATTAAAACTACAAATACATGATTAAAACTACAAACACATGATTAAAACTACAAATACATGATTAAAACTAGAATATGATGATTCAATCTATCCACATCAATACTAATAAAATGCAAATTTAAAAAAGACTGTGGCCAGCAAGCATCGTCTATAATTCGTTCCATCAATGTTCCACGTCACCCAAACGATTCTCCACTGCACACAGCACGAGCTTTTCGTCGACCCTTCCCATGTTCTTTGCTCCAAGCGACCAGGGCTCTTCAATATCCCGCGCAATTAAGACTGTTGGGTGCCTGCCATTGCTCATATGGACCCTAGTGACGTTTCGCTGTCCCTCCGACTGACGTTTATCAAATGAGAAAAGACAAATTACCGACGAGGAACTTTGGAACCATGTTAATGTATTCTTTTTCATCGCCTTGGAATTTTCTTAGTTATTACGGGTATGCTCAACAAAAGCAAATATATTTTCAGTAAAATCATTGCTTTCAAACCCAAATTGAAAATCATTACAGTTTAATTCCAAAAGCCTTCGTTTCAATCTGTCCACTCAAGAATTGAAACGTTGATGACAGGCAAAAATGAGTCATATCGAATTCGTTATCAAATGAAAACGCACGTGTGGATGCACCCTTAAAGATTTAAGTGAAGATAATGGGAACCTGGACGCGAAGTTTTCAATTTTTATGTTTGGATACTTTTGCTGTATTCTTGTTTCTTAAATGAAAAAGAATAAGCAAACGTGAACGGAAAAACAAACAACCACACAAAAAAAACTAAAAACCACGAATATTTACCTTTTTGCCACCTTTAAATCGCTTGTACCACGAAAGCCACAAAACACCATTGATAAGTAGGGTTACCACCACACAAGATGTAGCGATTACCATCGCAATCTGACTAGTTGAGCTTTCGTGCAGTCTTGTTTCGGTTATTTCTGTGATATAAGACAAAAGATCAAACTAAAACTTAAAGACTTTGATGGCCAACATCTTTCGTCGTACTGATTAAAAAAGGACCGTGCATAGTCCAATTAGGTTTCTGGCCATACGAGTGATTGACCAAATTGGACGACCGTGAAATGCGAGTCCGATTTGCCAATCCATCCTGACATGACATTGACATCCTGTTACCAATTAATTATAACTACTAAAAAATTTCCGAGTAAAGCCAGATGTATTCATTAAAAGAAGAACTTCTGATTCCAATCGTTAACCACTTGGTCATTACAATTTTGTGAAAGACACACACTAAAGCGCTCTAAAGACAACTTCCAATATTTTTTAACCCTCAGCTTTGGATGGTATGCCATTGCTATGGTTACTGTCATCAATTCTGTCTTTGGTGGACTTATTTGAGCTTGCTTAATGTGATTTGCTGATGTAACTGTTTGATTACCAGTGTCCGATTCCGACCAACTTTCCGCTTACAACACTATGAATTTATAAAAAATAAGGCAGCTCATCCACCAATCATATTCGAGGAAACTGGGATGGTATAATATACTGATCATTGGTGCAATTTAGGATGGCAAATATTACTATGATGGTCAATTACGACATGCATGCATGAAGAATATTAATGCAAGGTGATCACAAAAATGTATTGAAGTCTTGCTGACTCAGTCCCACTGTGTGAGCTGCAGCAAAGGAAGTTTGAAAATGTTGACCCACAGTGTTTTGAACGGAATTTATACGTTTTATTACACAGCCTGTATATAAATTTTAGTGAAATCGATATATATTTTCCGAAAGAAAAACTACAAATGTTCCTATGATTTCAACAACTTGCCTTCCTTTGCGTGTAAAGAGGCTAATTTTGACTCCCTCTTTCCAGCTGTTCGGCATTGATACGTGCCTTCATCTTCGTTCGTCTTCTCCTTTATAAGCTCTACGCTTAGTATACTGTGGCATTTTGTGGCATCTGAAGTTACAACGACCTTTACCTTTGAATTGGTTTTGGAAACATTTGAACCATTGCTATTGTTTAGCTTGTAATGACAACTGGCAGTGAGGCTAAAAGTTCCGTTGGAACCAACTGAATTACTTTTGGTTCTTGAGTCTTCCCGCTTTTCTGTAATTGAGACAAAAAAATTACTATTAAAAGGTGAGAAGAAATGGATGCTATGTTCGGAAAGGATCTGTAATAGTAGAGCAAGCGGAGCAAATGTGACACTCTCTCCATTCGCGTTGACTCAAGAGGCATAACCTTAATAGTAATCATAGATCTTGTTTCGATAAGACTACTTTAGCACAAAATAACAAACCAAATGCATTTGCTCTATTTGACAAACCACGCCCTTGTCATGGAGATCTTTAAAAAAAGATTTTCTTTTGTGTTTCCACATGGATGAAGTTAGGCCCTAGGCACAACTTAACCGGGTCACCACATAAGGATGGCGACTCCTGATTCTTTTTCACCAACGACGTTCTTTGCAATGCGCTTACATTTTCCATAATCTTCCTTCTGTACTTTTGTTATTGTAAGCTGGCTGCGATTGTTTTTGTCTTCTTGAACAAGACATGCTCTGGGTATTTAGGGGATAAAATGTATTGTCCCTCATCTACTGGATTGTTGACCTCGGGAGACACTTCGGTTCACTGGATGTTAAAGGAGTAGTTTTGTAAAAAGTGGGAAATCCGAAACACTCTTGGGGTCAAAATAATGATTTTACTAAAAAGGCAGAAAAAGGGAAACTGAATAGAAAACGAAAATCAGCACGCAGTCTTAGTATTAAGCTATAAATTTTAGTTGCATTTCGATTACATTCCTCTTCACGGTCAAGCTTCTCGTCTTCGACACAAAAAATGCCAAGCCTATGAGGCTGCTTAAAGAGTAAGTCGCTTACTGCAGATCAGATATTAAAAATGGGGTCTAATCTGAGTCAAGATAAATGGAGGTCAAGTGGGAAAGTTGCTTAGCTAGGTGAGATGATTTCCCAGCAGGGTTCAACTGATGTACTTAAGACCTAATATCTCGCACAGGACGCTCAACCGTCGCTAAATAGCTCAAAGTTGTGAGGAGCTGTAAATGGAAAGTTTTTCTTCTCACCTTTCTGGCTTAAGAAGGCCGATAATGATACCTTTTTTCCAATGCTGTTAATTGCCACGCATTTATATCCGCCAAAATCCTTCTTCTTCACTTTCGTTATGAAGAGCTCACTGTGGATGCTATTCTTGTCCTTTGCGCTTGAGTTGGATTGCAAGGTATGGAAATCATCGTTCTTGATCCATGAGATGTTTGGCTTAGGAAGACCAGTAGCATTGCAATCGAAAGTGACATTGGAATCTATGTAAACACTTTGATTCCTTGGAACCTCCAAAAAAACCGGTGCAGAGCCTGGAGGGAAAGTGCGCACTAATATAAATACAGTCAACTCCCTCATAAGAGGACATCTTAGGGAATTGGAAAAAGTGCCCGTTATTAGAACTGTCTGCCTCCGATAGCTTGCTTTCCCGCGGACAAATGGAGATTTAACAAACCCGATCCCAACTGTCGATCATTTTGTTGATTTCCAAAGTCAGGACAATTTTGTTTGCCTAGAGTAATAAATTACCCATTGGGTGTCGCTTACGAGGGAGCGTAAACAAAAGAAAAATCACATTTTCAATTTCAAAAGTGTCCGCGTCCGTCTACGAGAAACTGGGAGGCAAGAAAAGAAATTAAAAAAAGAAAAGAAAATAAGTAGAAAAATCCGCTTACGAGAGTGGCCGACAGCGGGAAGTTGATTGTTTATACTTTTTTTCATCGAGATGTAAGGTTCACTGGGATTTGAGAGAGAGAGGAAAGGATTTCCTTTTCATTCTCCGGCCTTAGATGACTTAAGTATTGTAGAATGGCAACGTTTGGCCCAGAACCAGTTCCTCTGCCATAAAATGTGAGTCACAAAGTGCTTTAGCTCAATTGATTCTCTCGACATTCAATTCAATCGTTCCTTTCGTGGAAACTTATTTCAAAAACAGACAAACAAACAAACAAGCAAACAAAAAATAAAAATAAATAAAGTGGGTAAGTTTCTAAAGAAGCTACGGTGCTGCGTCGGTGGGAGAGTATAATAAGGTAATTTGGAATCCTCAAAGTTGAAAATGTAAATTGGCTACCGTAAAGAGTTTTAAAGCTATCGTTGCGAGCATTAGCCCTTCGTCAGATAGAATGAAAACAAAAATTTAATAATTTAATAACTAAAGAAGAAATAAAAATATATTTGACATCCAGCGAAACCAAATGCACGATATCCACCTTTCCCAAACAAGAACGTAAGGTGTTTACCGTCACGCATTATGTAAGTGGGAAAAAAAACTAACGAACAAACAAACAAATAAGGAACAAAAAAAGACAAATGAATAAACGAGTTATGATGAAATACTTACCTATTGTAAATGATTGCCTTGTGCAGTGTTTTCTATAAGGATTGCCCGCTTGGCAAATATAGTGGCCAAATTCATCTTCTGTCAGATTTTTTAAAACCAATGGGCAGCTGAATTTTCTTTTATATGCAAATATGTTTGAAGGCTGCTGGCATTTTGCTCCAACTTCTGTACCATTTGGGTTGTACCATTGAATATACTTGACCCATCTATCCATGTACCCTGCATCTATAGTTCTCGGCTCTGCTTTACAAGTCAGAGTTATGGAGGCACCAACGGCCAAACTGACATTTTCTGGACTTGGATAGATGACGACAACGGGTCTTACTGTACAAGAGAGGAAACTAGTTGGTGAAAAAATACTTATAAAATATGGTTTGCTATCTCTATTCCAACCGAGAAGGACAAGAATGAGAAAAAAAGTTTAAAAGAATAGGCCATACTCTTCGTACCGTGGGGTTTCATTACTTACTTCTGATTTTGGAATTGCACGTTTCGCTTCTGACAAACGGAGGAATGCATAAAATGCTGGCAAGATTCAATAGTAGTATCCACTTTGTTACCTCTCTCAGCCAAAAGTCACCCATCGTCGTGAAATGTTGTCGAGGTGCAATCCCTGCAAATGGGATTGTCAATTAGAAAAAAGGTAAGGAGCAGGATTAGCCAGACAGGGTAGGAACAGCCACCTTAAGAAAATGCTTTTCGAACTACATTTAAAAGTTTTGTGTTTAGACAGGACCTTACATGGAAATAAGGAAAATAACTCCTTTAAATTTAATCAGTCGTTGAGACGAGGGGAGACTAGTAGGGTACGAAGATGAAATCATTGACTACATCAAGAATATGACTAAACCCATTATTGTGGGGTGTCTATTTACAACGATGAGTTTTAACTTATTAATATGGTCTTTTTCATAAAAATTATTCTTAGTATTAGTAGTGCCCTTTGTCTTTTCTTTAAATTGACTGCACCAGATGCCAATAAAATCTCAACTTCCCTTGGTTTACCAACCGTCTGATAGTTAACAAATATTTAGTTAAATTAATTCCAACATATCGGAGAAAATGCAAATGTTCTATATTGTTCTTTTGTCGGCAGTTGCATGTTTTGTTGGTTCCCGTGTCGTCTTTGTTGTCTTTCGTGTAAGATGAGTGAGACGAGTGTAAGATGCGCTTGTTGTGGTTGTCGATGACCTGTTTGGTGTTGTTCATACAGCTGTAACTGATTTTGATGGTGTAGCGGTTAAATATCTTGCGGAGGCTGTGATCCTTAGGGAAATGTTTGTCGATTAGGCTGAGGAATTTGTGTCCTATATTGGTGCTAACGTGCTTGCTGAATGGAGGGTTGTACCAAAGGATGTTGCTTTGCTGCCTGTTTTTGCGTTTGGCAGTCGTGGTGAGTTCGTAGTGGAGGGTGTATTGATATCCACCTTCGTTAAGTGCTTTTTGGTACGGTGGGGCGGCTTTGTCGAATGAAGCTTTGTCTGATGAAAGGGATGAAAGTCGTTTGTTGATGCCGGCAGGTATGTTCTTTGTGGTGATCGGTGGATGATTGCTCTCGCGGTGTACGTACTGTAGTGTGGTGTTAGGCTTTGTGTAGGGCTGGTAGGTGCTGTTGTTTAGGTTGAAAGTGACGTCTAGGAAGCTGATGATCTTTTTGTTTGCTTCGATGGTGATACGTAGTCCGTTGCGGTTGAAGATTCGGCAAATTTCCTTCTTTATGTTTTCGGTGTCTCTCGGCGTGGTGTTAGTGGTGGCTAGTCCGTCGTCTCTGTAGAGTCCTACGTTGATGTTGAGGTCTTGTAGCTGTGAAAGAAGGAAACTTCCTACTAGATCGCACGTTTCGGCGCCGTCGTAGCTGCCCATCGTGACGTCAAATGTGAAGAGTGAAGCGATTCATGAAACAGGCTTGTCGGGAAATGTAGTTGCGTCCTTTTTTCCTCTCATAATACTTATTCTGCTCTGCTTCAACGTATTGAGCACTGTTCCACGCGAAAATCGACTTGCAGACTTCCTATATATATATATTTAGTTGGAATTTTGCGCCTGACTGGATGTTTCTACCATCTCTTAAGGCGCCATAAGTTAACCTCAGCATAACGTATGGGAGCGGCGTTGAGTTCTAAATGGAATCTTAAATCATTTTTCCTCGGCGTTTCCTTTCTCGAACCACCCAAATTTTGATGATTTCACGTTGTCATTTTGCAGGAGACGGCCAAGAAATGTCCGCAGTTTAAAACCCACAAGCTGAGCTATTGTTCTGTTCGTTAGATCTTTTGCTTTGCCACGTCCTCATTCCCGTCGCCGCGGTGGTTTGTTAAAAGCGACGCCGTGGACAACGTCGGTTAAAAAACGAACTTATATTTTACCTACGATACTCGCAATACTCTAAAGTCTCTAGTTTGCTCGTTACAGTAAATCTATCCCGACACTAAATATGTAACACAGAGATAAATTAGAAATAGAAATTTAAAAAAAAATCAGACGTCCTCCTTCACGTTCACCAGACAACGCAAATTTTGATCATTTTATGTTTTTGCAGAGGACGCAAAGAAATTACAAAGGCACGTGCACAGCTATTGTTCTGCCCATCAAACCTCTTGTTTAATGACGTTCCCGTTGCCGTTTCCATCGTGGTTTTCTAAAACTCCCAATTGTTCACCTCTTATTGATGCACAACGTATATGATAGTTTAGGAGTTTTAAGTTCTTTTTCATCTTTTGCATTTAGGTTTTGAATAACTTTTATTTTCTCCGTTATCCAGCATAACGATATAAATCGCAACCATCATAAGTAGTACTTCCCTCCTTAAATTTGACCTCACCGCAAAAAGTTATCAACACAAGAGAAAGATGAAATCTTACTTTAGTGATGACTCGCTCCAAGAATACAGGGACTGATAAGTCATACTATTGCTGAATGACAGCGGACGGGCAAAGGGACTAACCGAATCGACAACTTAAACCCTTTCACCCCCCGATGTGATTAACAGGAAACTGCTATCTTGATCTAGCACCAAGTTCTTGTAACTAATTATTCTGGTCGGAAACGGATGCACAAAAGGCGCGTTAATTGGCGTAAAGCAATGTGGTGAACACAGCATGGGGGCGAGATTGAGTTTTGGCATCGAATGTAATCAGGCTGGAAGTGCTGAGCCGCGCATAAACGATAACCAAGCTTGTTACAGTTTACACTTAACTTTCGAATAAACTTAAAATATTTATATGAGCACAAACCTAATGCTATGAATCGCTTCAATTGTTAACGTACTGATGAAAAGCAATAGCCGTGGGAACAGTTAAAGTGTAATGGCTGATTGATTTAATTCGATTCATTGATTCAAATAAACGCATATTTGCGTTCACCCGGGCTTTCTGTTGGAAATAAACTTTTTTTTTGTGCTTGCATTTGCTTAGGGTTACGTAATTATTGGTTTATCCTATAACTGTTTTTTTCTCTTGGTATGCTATCCCCAAAAAATCAGTTGACAATATAACACCAATGTCAGACCAAAAGAAAACACATATGAGAATGACACTGTCAGATTTAAAACTGATAATAATTAATGAACTCTCCATGGTATCAAATACTTTGCTACTGCACATCCATCAAAAACTAAGGTAAATATTGTCAACATCAAACAACTGCATGCCTATTTCCGGGACTTAGCATTATTACAGTAGGTGATTTGAATTAACTTCCACCAATTTGAAGAAAATTCGTCTTTGAAAAATATAAAAACAATGTTTACAATTTGTGCCATTCCTGGCTACTTTTCAAGATGATAGAGTTGACTAAAAATATCAGTCAAAAGGATGACCAACCATTCACAGAGTTATTAAACAGATTCAGAACTGCTTCACAAACAGAGGGTAATATTCAATGCATTTAGTCTTTAGGCTAGTGCATCCTGAAGATACTGATTACCCAGTATCTAATGTTTTGTATTTTTGGGAAAGTTTTTCTGTATCTTCTGTTTATATTTCATATCCCTAAATTGTTTTTTCTCCAATGATCTTTTTCTCTGCTGGCTCCATTGCTTTACAGTATTGTTTTTTTTTTTCTATAATGTTTAGTCATCAATTTTGTTTCTGTCCTTTCTGTCAAATACTTTACACGAACATGTAGCAAACAGTATTCTGTATTGCACTAGAGTATTATATTTCTCCAGTATTTTTCTAATGGCATCAACAAGTCAAGCACTTCCATTTATGTTTTTAGTGTACTGAATAGGGGAATTGTCTCTTTCATTATAAAGTAGGGGGGAATACATATACTTTGATCTTTTTGTGGGTTTAAAGGTACAACTAATGCAGTATAAGGAAAATTATATCAAAAACCCTGTGCATTCACTATTATGTATTATTTCATTCTCACGAATTGACTTGCTTTGAAGTGAATCAGTTAATAGTCCTTCACTCTTAAACAAATTATCCCAATTTACTTTTGTTTCATAAACATCTACAGTTCTCGGAAGATTAACTGGTGATTGCTGGTTGTGTGCTAAGCTTGATTTACGATACGTCTTTTTGCCCTTGTCAACAATGGTGGGTAAGGATGAGTTGTAATTCCAGTAATTACATGATTTTATTACAGGGTAGCAAAGAGAGTATAGAGCTACAGCACAACTTAGATTGAAGTTCATGGTTTCATTCAGACTGTTTTGAGAAACCATCCTATTTTGAATATTCTCAATTTGTATTCCTCTCACTTTAACTCTCTGAAACGACTCTGGAAATAATGCACTAACTATCAGGAGACAGTACTTCGAGAACAACACATGTACCTTTAGGCTGCCTTCTACCATACAAATCTCTAACATGGGAATCAAATATTTTGAACTCCATATTACTATTACAGTAATACACCCTACTGCTAATATGAAATTGGTGTAGCTTTCAAATATGAGCGATTCCAGTTGATAATCAGTATCAAACACATTTCATGCTGTCGGTAATTTTTACTGCATTAAATATGCCTGTCTGGCTAATTGTGACAAACTTGAATAAAGCTGATTTCCAATATTTATTATTTGTATAAGATCATTTGGTGAGCTGATCCCTTGTGTGTCATGATAAATCAAAGAACACAAATTCATTGCAACACATTGTTGTCCTGCACTCTATTCAAAAACTAACTCTTTACCTTGACTGTATGGGGCTACTACTATTTTTTTAGGGTCAACATATGTTAGAGGGCCAGGATTTTTTTCTATGTCTCTGTTTAATTTATAATTGCAATAATTTGCTACACTGGCCTCATTCTTGCAAGAACACGTCAGTTTGTTATGAGAAAACAATTTTAAATATCGACTGGCACGATATTTTACCTTTCATATACATTAACGAATTCTTTCACGATAAAGAGATATCTCATAAGGTTCACGGAACGACCCGTACCGAAAACACTCGACACATTTAAGTGTGGGTCTACCACAAACGATGCGAGCATATTTTGTATGCGTTTTGAGCGTCTTATACACAGTGCCTGTGCTGACTTTGCGCCGCGAAAGCTTCTCTTCGTCCACCATAACACCATCCTGTGTGCTCATTAGTCAAAACATCGCGCATACGTCAGACTCAAAAGGTTGGCAAAGACCAAAAAATATGATAATCAATTGCTTGGTTTAAATTCGGGAGCAATTTTGCATGCCTTAAAATGATTCAGATGCTGTAATTTGGCCTTTTTTTTCAAAGTCCATGTAATGAAAGTTGCATTTCGAATGTTTGGAAAGGGTAAACCGGCCATGACTTGATTTGGACAATTTTAGCCATCCTCATAGGAGAAGGTTAATCTTGCCATGTCATTTCCGGCATCAGATCATATGCTTATGTAAGCAGGTTGTAAGTATATAATATTCTGAAAGAAAAATTTAATCATGATCAAAATTGGAAAGTTGGACTATCGACATTGTTGAATGGTGGCCGAAGACGATGTAAAACGGTTCTAAAAAAGGAATGTCGCAGGATGGAAAAAAAAAAGAAAAAACATTCAACTCGGCTTTATGACAAAGCGCTTTCCAGCAATGAGGCCGAGTTCATATCTGTTCTCGCTAAGGAATGAATATTGGAATTGAGAGAGAGAGAGGAAATTGGTTTAGTTTGGATTACCTTAAACTAATTAACCTAATTCCACCCTTCTGACAAGGATAAATATTTTTTTGCGGAAATCTGGCTGTAGTCTTAAATTAGCGGAAAACTTAAGCCAGCGACACGCACAAGTGACCTTTCTTCGTAATTACTATTAGAGAAAATCATGCTCGTTGAGAGTTATTTTGGCCTAGGGGGCTTTGTGGATAAGTTTTAATCAAATACAAAAAAATTCGTGTGATGATCAATTAAAAGGACAATGAGTACTCAAGTTCTCATCAACTTTGATATGATTTAAACTTTGGACTGTTCTAAGTCTTCTCTTCATTTCTCTCCTTGCGAAGTGTTGAAAATTGGATCTGAGAGAGAAACGGAAAAAAAATGATTGCGGTGGCGCTTTAACCAGAATCGGCAGCGGAAATATGTGCACCAGAAATGGGTTCGCACAGTATAGCTTCATAAAAACTGGCACTTTTTACCTTAGCAAGCAACAGGGTGCATTTTGACGTTGTGTGGAAATGAAAAAAAATAAAAAATAAGTAAACGAATTTAAATAACATGGAAAAAAAAAGTTCAATATTAGACAAATTAGACAACATCGCGTAGGAAATTTAACCTGACTTGGTGAGCCTTTAAATGCAGTAACAAGGTATTCTTAAAAATTCTGGAAGCATACGGAACAATTGATGTCAAACACCATTGACAAAAAATCCATAAGTGATCCAGAACACACCATATCATAAGAAGAGGTACAGGTGTTGGTGTGATCCCGTTCGAGCTAGATAACTTCTTTGTGAGCACAATATATTTCGCATATTCGCTTCGTTTGCCTGTATTTTACTTAGCTTCGCATGGTTTTCACCACGCTCGCCCGGAGAACAACAATCTTGGAAAATTCCGTAAAATTTGATCTCTAACTAGTTGTGATTAGAAGGATTCACACGGAATTACATTCTGTAACTGCAAATGACTCTTTTTTTTCAAATCGACTTTTTCTTAGCAATTGTATGTACCAGATGCTGCTACTTTTCTTTACGCACGACCAATTGCGCGTCGAAATTTAATCAGACTAAAACTATAACCTTAGTGACAGCCACGGTAAATCAAATCCTCTTGGCTCTCAGGGTTGACCCCCTAAAGGAATATCATGTTGTCAAATCATCAAAAATTGGTAAAGAAGATTAAAATTCTCAATGCGACTTTTTACGATCATTCGAGTTCGCCTATTCCCGGAAACAACTATCTGCCGATTATGTAATGAACGCCTGATATTGAAAGAAGAGCAGTGAAACTGCCCTATTGCCAAATTACTTTTCATTGATTCTGATTTAGAAGTCTCGAGAAAAAACTAAAATATCGACGCAAATCTATGGCAAGAATAGAGTTAACAACGATAAATATCGGAATTCGTTATTAACGATTGTATTTGATAAAAAAAAAAAAATAAATATTAAAAAAAATTTTAAAAATGAGCTCTCGCTCATCAATCAACCCCGAGCCGGACAATGGCGTCGGTCATGTGGCTAATTGATTATTCTTGAGGTATATGAACTCTTCATTGCGCAAAACGACACGCTAGGTGAGCTGGAATGAAAAAGGGAGTTGAACGTTAGATTGGCCTGTACAACTCCTGCCATTTGCTAACGATTTTGAATTTTTCCGCCGTCAAAGTAAGGATCTGTTTACGTGAAGGTTGGGTAACCTGCCTAGCCGTTGTCGAAAGATAGCCCGCGTTTACATGCAATCTTACAGCCTCGGGATCCCGGGATTGGGTTGCCGGCTCTCTTGTAAATGTGACATGAACGCGACCCTAGCTAAGCGGGGTAACCCACCTTAAACGATTACTTGGTAAATTGCGACCTCGGTTGACAAGGAAAACCACCTTAGCAGGTTACCCCACCTATCGTGTAAACGTGATCAAGATAAAATAAGGGATTATATGGACAGACGGGTTACCCCCACCCAAGCGCGTCACTTTACCTTAAACAAGCCTTTAAGCTCTTTACAGGACATCTTTTAATGGATTTCCCTTGTGATCTGATTATCAGGGCGTCATTAATTTCCCTATGTGTGTGTTGTTGAGGTTTGGCAAAGTTAAGCCAGATGAGATTGTGTCATAAAAGGGAATATTTTCTTTTGTGGGCTATTTTCTATCTTTTCAAGCAACCCACTTTGATACGTTTCTCAAAAATTTCCTCAGGGTATCCTCTATTATTTAAGCGTATTTTGAAACTCGGTATTATTAAACGAGGAGCGTAACGAATTCTTTCCTTCTCCTTTTACGAATCCTAAATTTACGCTTGGTGAATGACACGAAAAGGCTCGTGGATTGTTAAGGTCTCTGTCTCTTTGTCTTTCTTTGTTCAAAACGTAAATTGGCTGCCGTAAAGAGTTTCAAAACTGACATTTCGAGTGTTAGCCCTTCGTCTTTCTCTCTGATGAAGAGCAAACGCGCCTCGTAATATTTTTAGCTTCTCCGACTTTAGATGTCGATATCTAGACAACCAATGTTGTTGACTGATATTTTGTGAATGACTAGGCAGCCTTTATGCTGGTGCTGCGGCATCCGATACCCGATAAATTCAACAAAAGAACCTTCGGTCGTTTCACGCCTTGCCGGCCTCTAACACTTTGTAAACGGAAAACTCGCTTAAACTGTCTTTCTATCATAACCTGATTAATTAGGCTTTCTTCTGATGTATAGTTTGTTGGGATTACAGAGAAACTAGCGCGCGTACGATTTTTTTTCCGAAGGAAAACTCGCTTAATTGGAAACAGGAAACTCGCTTAAATTGTATTACTATCATAACCTGATTAATTAGGCTTATTTCTGATGTATAGTTTTTTACGATTGCAGAGAAACTAACGCGCATACGATTTTTTTCTGAAGGTGGGAAGTAACCTTAATACGGTGATAAAATGTCCCAAATATAAAGATTATTATGTACTGTGGCTACGGAGCTATTCAAGCTACGAAACCAAAATGGTGGTTGTCACTAGAAGCGTAATAGGAGTTCTAGTAAGAGAAAAGGTTGATACGCATACAGTATACATTTGGCAAAACTTTGAGTTAAGTATGTTGGCACGCACGTAACGTGAAACTAAGAAAAATGTACAAACGATTCTAAATTAATAGATTAATGTGCAATCGACTCTTAATTTGACATTTTTTTTTTATATGCAAAGGATCATAGCGTTGTTGAACAGCGCTCCTCAACGGTGAAAATTGGAAAATTCATTCGATAACTAAAAAATGTGATAGCAGTTTTTTTTCTTAAAACTGAAGCAGCAATCCTGCATAAATATGTTTGTATTATTATTATTATTATTATAACTAGGTACAATAGAGGATAAAAAGTATAAAACTTACTTTAGCGACTACCCGCGGAAAATACTTCAGTGATCTTGGGATGTTCATTAGCTTTCAATTTTTTCTTACTTCTTTTTTATTTTAAACAAAACCCACGTGATTTCAGCTAATCCAATTGAAGCGTGAGGGAGTCAAAGGCGAAGTTTACCCCTACTATTAAAATCCCTGTAAGAAAGTATTTTCTGTTTGTTTAGCACAGTGTGTGAGACGGCGGTATTCTCCCATCCTTCCCGTTGATAGGGAGCTATATCCGTGGCCCACCTTTCTCATCTTGCACAAATAATTTTCAATTTTATCACAACTTCGCCTGTTCCTGTTCGTGTGTCCGGCCAAGCCTTTATGGTCATTGGCCTCCCGTATAGCCGCTAACTATGGCTCATAAATACATACAATTAGTAGAAAGTTACTCAAGATACTTAAAAAGTGAGGTATTTGAATTGATTTCAAATTAAATTGATAAATACAACTTTCATTTAACAAATAGAGAAGCCTTCACTGTGCTCTGTTCTGATGTAAAGCATGCATGAAGCGGTTACAACACGAAAAAAAAAAGTGTAAAGAGAAACACGAGACGCGGGCACCTTCATGATTGCTATGAATTTTAACAGTTTTGCCAGTTTGCCAATATTTTTCATCATTCCTGCTTTGTTCTGTCTTTTTTTTTTTTTTTTTTTTTTTTTTGCTTGTTTGTTATTTTGTTTTTTAACAATAAACTGTATATACTTTATGAGTGTTAGATGTGTTTGATTTTTGTTATCGGACGTAAGCTTGCAATCTTACTGAGCGTGAAAACCTTCAAAACTCGGACTGTCTATTTCCTTTTCTCTTTCAGGATTTGAGGAACTCTGCTCAAGTTATAATGACGTAAATTACGGCCCTTGGCATGTCTACAAACCCCTTAATTTTTCTGTTGCTACTTGCGGGCTCGCTTGTTCCGAAATGTCACTTTTAGTTTAAGACAAAAAGCTCTAGGGCGGTCCTGGAAAAGGTCGGACATAGTACAATTTGGCAGATGGCGTGACAACTTTAGCTCTGCTCCATGCTTTGTACTCTGATAGAGCCTGCTCTTTCAAGCAATGACAAAGCGCGTTATATCCAAACTTTATTATAATCATTAATATCTAAAGTCTCCAAAACAATTTGTTTGTTGTAAAACGTTGAGTGAAGTTCTGAGTTCTATTTAAATTAAATCTTGGGTAAGCCTTTGGACATTTTAACTGCTACGGATACCAAAGCAATCAAGTGAGTAACCGTCGCATCTAACTCGCTTGTAATTGGATTGTGTCTCATTTGACTTTAGCATTCCGGTAGAAGAAAGACAACATTTACTTGCGCCATTGAAGCGAACAAACGGGAATCGTTAGAGGACAAAAAATCAACCTCGCTTTTCCATGTTCGCCTTCATATTCACATGCAAAGAGGCTGTTGAGAATAGCATATAATACAAGATGTATTTCATACACATAGCCACTTCATCCTCGTTAGTCCGAAGGTCAGATTAACAACGGTGTTGACTGATAGCCAATTCTAGTGAGAATAATCTAGAAATGACGATTAGAAGATTAGATTAGATTCAGAAGGCGAAACAAATTGTTCACGCCACACCAAGTGCTGTTTCCGAAATGAGCCCAATTCGACCACCCATAATGATATAAAACGACCATCCGGATAAGAGAAGTCCGCAAGGGGTAACATTGACTGCCTTTTTGATAACCCTAAAAAAAAATTGTCTGGAAAACAGATAAATAATTTAACTTATATATGGAATTATTGACTCAAAGAAGCGGTTCAAAAACAGGAAGTCCTCAGTCTATCAAGAGGGGGCATTGGGGCCTATTGGAAACCGCAAAACCGAAAAAATTCCGCTAGATTTCTCTATAGGATTGCAATTTTTATTTTACATCTAATCTTGTTTTTCTTCCTGAAATTCTCGAAATTCCAATGCCCCCTTCTATCAACAATGGTTATTCAATATCCTTAGGAAAATTACTGAACCACAACCGAGAGAAACTTTCAGGACAAGTTGATGCTTTTGTTGAAATATCTTCTCAATCTACCCGGACAGACTTAACAACGATAAACTTCCACAACAGACGACAGCGGTCCCCACAGTTCCTGGCTTATCAGCATATATCGCTCGGATCCCAGAATAGAAGTTACAGTCTGCCGACAACAATATATATATATATATATATAGAAACCATAACAATTTAGCACACGGGTCCAAACAATCAGATTAACTATTCGCTAATCTAAACTAGCCGGAAAGCTTTGCGTGAAAAGCTTTCTGGTATGATAAACATATTGATATAAAGCGCTAGAAAATTTAATAGGTCTTAATACCTTGGAAACACAATATCTAGCATTTATATCACATGTTTAGGTCTTTTACATACTTTCAAAAACTTAAATTAGTACGACTTTTGAAGGAAATATTTCTATTCATCCGATAGATTTATCTACGTATTTTGTTGCACGGGCAAAAGGGAAATTCCCTACGCAGCCTAAAAACAGACCAAGTATGAATAAATCTCTGTTTTGCAGAATTGCCCATTGCTTGATTATCCCAGCTGTATACATGCACACCATCATATGAATGTTTAAATTGATTGCCGTTTTTTACGTCAAGTAAGCCTTTATTTAGCTACCACTAAGCAGATATGAAGAATGAATTAAGAAGCTAGCGGCACGAGATAATCAAACATAGCACTGCTCATTAACTGGTATATCGCGATAAGCGGCATGATTGTTGAATAAACCGGGCCCCTTTATATAGGAAATTAAATTATTGAAGAGAGAATTCAACACTCTTGCAGGTAGTTTTTTAGTCTTAATAGAGATTCGAAAGTAAATGTTCAGTGAAATCCGCCCAAATTGTGGCTCATGAAGACAAGCAAATTTTTCACCTGACCATGAGAAAACAAACTGCTCTAGACATATGATTTATGAATTGACGACAGCCAAATTCACAGGAAGACGAATATTGCTGAGGATGAAAACGCTGTAGAACTCGGCTGTTGTGACTGATGTGGTCTTCCCCTTAAAACATCTGTTATCATATACAGCTTTACTTACAGCAAGTTTACTTTTCCCACTTTGCTTCTCTGTAACCACTTTGACTGACTGATCACCTCTGACCGACTCTTACTTACTCTCTTTAACTCTGGTCAACTCTCTCGGAGAAACTATATTCGACTCTCTTATATGTAAATGTATCCTATTTATTTTCCTGGCGGGGAAGTTCATTTGGAAACCATGGGATAATCATAATATGCTACCCTTTGTCTAAGACTACAGACGCAGACAAAAAAAAGAGTTGACGTAAGCAGACACACCAAAAACATCCTGCAAAAACATCAGCAAACTATACGTTCTTGAATAAAAAAAAGGAAAGGAGCGAATCATTTAGTCTAGATTTAAAAACAGAGATAGAAGGGCCATTTTATATATTGTGATGAGTTGGCCGAACCAAGTGATCATTAATAACACTATCATGTCTATAGTGCAAATACTTCAGAAGTGCACGTGGAAAATATTATAAGGTTCAGCTGTTATATTGAACGAGACTCAACTCTGAGAATCACTTCAGCTAAATTCCTTCAGTCAGCCACATCTTCTAAAGTTGGTCTTCCTAGTCTTTTCATAATCAAACCACTCTTTCCTGTTTGCGTCATCAAAATGTCCTAATTAGTTTTCCTTGGCAGTAGTCAAAGCATTAAAATATGCATTCATGTCTTTTCCCTAAGAATTATCTGCATAACTAAAGAATGTAGTGTGCAAAGGTCACAAACTTCTCGAGTTGACTGATAGAACCGAATACTTTATGATTCATCTCAACGTAAAGCTGAAAGTAAAGTACACAGGTCTTTCGAGTTCACTTGAACAGGAAAGTGCTAAAAACATGAACTCTGAAGAGACTACAAAAATATTTTCTCGAGGAATCTGTACTGTTTTGAAAGAGGTCTCGATTTTTTTTAAACCGAACATTCGGAAGCAGACACTCATTTTTGTCTAAGTACGGTATAAAGGAACGAGGAATTCGTTAAGAGGCTGAACACTAATCCTTGTCGAGAAGCGCTCAGTAGATAAGTAACCCTACGTCGAGTTATCCAAAGGGTAGCGTGGAGAAAGGTTTTTTTTTAATTTTTTAAAATAAATTTTGAGATCAACAACCCCCATAAATCTGAATCCCGAGTGACGCCGGATGCGGTTAACAAACAATTATAAATAGCTGATTGTCTCTCTCGATCTAAAAAAGACAACGGCTGAGAACATTTTGATTGATTTGTTGCGAAAAGATCATAGTGCATGCGCGACCAACACCTCTTAAACAATAACTTCGGTTAAAGCAACCCAGACTCATAATTTGAACATTCAGTCAATCAGTAGTATGAGGATGCCTTTCTGGTATTGCTTAGCATAAGAGCTTATTTAATTTTATGGAAAACGCGAAATACTAACAAAAAAAAAGCAAAAAAAAATCCTTTATTAACTTATATTGTGCTTGTGTGAAGCTGTGTTGTCTTGTAATTTCCCCCTCGTAAAAAAGTGCTTAAGAACTTTTTCTGATATTGATAATTCACAATGCATGCAAATTTATACGAGTTTAGGTCTCCTGTACTTGCGGTTAATGTTCATACCACCCAAGGAAAGTAAAGCAAGGATTTTATTCCTGGAAAAAATATGCACAGTCATTTAATTGAAAATTTTTCTTCTCTCGACGATTTCTACAGTTTTGTCCTATCCTTCTTTGACAGTTTTCACTTATCGGGTTTATTTCAATTTATCATTAAGGCTGAAATTGGTAGCTTTTGTGGTTAAACATTCTTTACATTGAGTTTACGCCCTTAACACTTTTAAAACAGTTGTATCATTTGACTGTAACAAAGGATCCTCGCTCTTCTCTTAGCTTGTAACTCAGTTGCGTGACTGTTGTCAGAAATGTTGTTGAGCAGTTGCGCTTGGGAGACTTCTTCAGTTCATGTGTGAATTGAAACATATAGCAGTGTGTAGTATAAACGAGAATTTAGTTACTTTCTGAAACAGTCAGATAATTCTCTAAACCGTAATCAGGGTATTTGTTCGACGAAAAAATTACGAAAAAGGCAGCAGCTGACCACCGATTCTACACCATATTAAGGTACATAAAATCACCGTGCGAAAATAAATAGTGGGCTACAAACTGAGATAATTTAGGTCTTTGCTGCAGACCTCATCAAATCATACAGATATAAGGAACTCTTATCAAGCTTTTTTCCTACATGTAGTTATTCAAACTGTAAATTTACTTATTTTCCTCAATGACCAGAGTTACATTCACAAACTCTACTCTTAAAAGGACGTTTGTTTCAACTCCAAATCAAGTGTCTGTTTTTATGTAGCCCTAAACATTTATGAGACAATCCACGAATGATTTACACATTAGGAGACAAAAAGGAATACTGTCGTGCCTACCAAATATAATCTAACTGTGATATCTGTTTTATTTAAATCTTTTTACCATGGGGAGGTATGAAAATAAAACCATTCGTAAATGAGAAATAAATCGGAGTTCGTATTCAAGTAATAAAGACTAATTTTCTTCGATAAACACTGCCATAATTGTAGCTCAATTACGCCTTGTTTCAGAATAGGTCGTGTTCTAAAATAAGATAAATAAAAACAAAACAAAAATGATCCCTCTCGGAAGGCAGTATTTCTACGATTGTAAATCGTTGTTTGTTTGTTCATTTTCTTTAATTCACCTTCGCTCAGCTAATAGATCAGTGTCTATGCTATTTATCATAGCTCGTATTATTATCTTTCTGGTTAATTTTTTAACCGAATTACCCATATGGATGTTTTAATTGAAATTCACTGGTCAATTCAGTGTTTGCAGGAGCGCTTGCGCTAGGAGTGCTTCCTAAAAAGTCCCAGTCGATGTAGCTCAAGGGAGCTTCTGTTCCGCTACGCGGATGAACACCATTGATGTTTGACGTTACCGCGCATTTTCACCATACCATTAGCCTCCTCAGCGTGTGTCATTGCGTTTCCCATCACTAGGGTCTCTTCCCAAGTCCCAAATGTACGGTCTTCAAATTCAAACTCTAATCAGGATACTTTGCGTCATGATGACAAGGTGGCTCCTCAAATATTGCTCTTAAGTGCGGTTAGTTTTGAGGGATGTTCTTACGTATGTTCTTGAGGTTGGGTAACCACTGGAACCCGGTTGCGGTGACATTCAATTACGACCAATTCACCTTTTTCGAAAATTTCACTCATGGAAGCACCTTTGAATACCGTAAACAGCTCGCCGTAAAACAATATAGCAGGAGGTCTCATGGGCTCGAGTACTAGACGCTGTTCTGGTTGATCTGTAATGATCCCGCACTCCTCCCTGACCATAAAGTACAGTATGCTGACACGAAATTCTATAATTAACTGAGCCTTGAATTTAAAGTATTTACCCCCCTAAGCTATAAAGCTCTTCTTTCTGAAAACAAATATCGATAATTCTGTCATAGGCCAGTGTTTTACTGTTGCTAGTTGGCAATTTTTCTCAGCGTTTTGTAGATCGTCGGTTATATTATTCGCCCTTTGTCGTCAGTCGGTTAACCTCATTCAGACCCTCATGATAGTCTGCGTGTGCGGGTAATAAAATCAATGACGATAAATATCACAGCATGAAATCGCAAATTTACGCATCTCTAACTCTTGCGTAAAGAAACGTAAATATAAAGCCTCTTCTTTACGGACAAGTTCCGCGTTCCGTAAAGATGCGTAATTGCAGAGAAAGCGTTAAGACTGCGTAAAGGATATTAAATGTTCGTAAAGGATAAAGATCAAGATGGATGAAATTAACCACTTTCTATTTGGAGAAATACTCAAAGAAGTGAAATAATTATGGCTCATCCATACCGAAGTATTTTGACCCGTTTCGCTTTAACACTTTACGCGTCTTTAATATTCTTTATGCATCTTTACTCATTGTCCTTTACGAACTTTTAACATTCTTTAACATTCTTTACGCATTTCAATCTTTACGCGCCGTTAATTCTCTTTACGAATCTTTAGTGTTCCTCAACGACCTTTAACTTTTCCTTCGCACAACTAGTCTTTACGTAAATTTAATTCTCTTTCCGCATTTGTATTCTGTCTTTTATAACGGTTCTAAACTTTCTGTTCGCATAACTATGCTTAAACTACCTTTTTTTTAACGCGCCTTGAAACCCGTGAACAGGGAGTCGTTGTGATGAGACAATCATTTTTTTTTTTTTTTTTTTCCATAAAAAAGAGTCCCTGGGGACGAAAATACATAGAAACGAGGCTGCCGCAGATCGGCAGGAGAGTATAACAGGTAATTTAGTGTTAACAACTGAGTTGAAAAAGGTAAATTAGCCACCGTAAAGAGTGAAAAGGCTGACCCTTCGAGCGTTAGCTCTTCGTCAATCGCTCTGATGAAGGGCTAACGCTCGAAAAATCAGCCTTTTAACTCTTTACGGTGGCTAATTTACGTTTTCACTGAACTCAGTTGTTGACATTACATTACGTCTTTAATTCGGACGATTCTTCAGACATGTTCGGTACTGTTTGATAAAGGATCGTGTTCACGAGACTGCAATGAGCCTCTCAGAAGGTGAGACATCATATATTTGTATTCATGGCGCGAACATTAGCGTCCTTCTGACGTCGTTTGCGATTGCTCCTGACTTTACTTTTGGCGTGTGTGTGGACTCTTTTTCTTTCAAAATGTCAAGAATTTCCTACCACACCAGCGTGAGCGACAGTTTTACTGTGCTACTGGACGATTCTTGGAAAGAAAACCAATCATTATGAGAGCAATTGAGGCAGCGCGATGAAGAAAATGCCTTAAATTTAGAAGAGCTTTCAAACAAAGTGGACTCTTTGCGTAAACTTGTCGCCGAGAACAACTCGGACAGCAAGGAAACGAAATCAAAGAAAGATAACTCAAAGGTCCATGTGCCTACAAGCTGTACGAAACCAATGACACATTTTGTATATCTATGTAAAAATATTTTTATTTACAATATTTGTATTTTTCAGTTCTTATCCAGTGTATATAAACCTCTAGCTACGTTACTGTGAAAATTAAAAAATCAAGTTAAAGAGTTATGACAATAAAATAAATTTCAATGTATAAAACACGTATTGTTATATATGGG